AACTAAGTCTTCTTATGTAATATAATATCTTTGAATAATCCAGGATAGCGATAGATATTGTCAAGAAAGAATTTAGCTATTTCTTCACCTGTGATAGATTTTGTACATGATACAAAATGTACCATTTTGGTAAAACGACCTACTATCATGAATATAAAGTCATAAGAACTTGAGATTGAAAGATCCATGATGAAATCCATAAAAACAGAAGACCATTGTTGTTCTAGAATGGATAATGGTTGAAGAAGTTTGTAAGGTCAATAACAAGGAGTTTTTTTATCTTAAACAAATGTCGCATGACTGAACAAAATCTTAGATACCTTTTTCTATTTGTGGCCACCAAAAATCTCTGAATATAAGCTCTTAAGTCTTGTTGTATCCAAAATGTCCTACTATTAGAAAGTCGTGACATACTTGAAGAACACATAATCATGCTTCTCTTTTTAGAACATATAATTGACCTTCTAAATAGAATAGGTTGTTTTTGAAGTCAAACTTAGAAATATCTTAGAACTTAGAAGAAGGATTTTTGATATTGTGAACAAGAGGTTCAGAAGACATACTTAATTGGATTTATTTTATAAAGGTTGAATCAATAGTCAATGTTAATTACATTAGTCAAAGATGAAAATACTTTGGCTTCAAGAAAATTATTCTTTATTGATCAAAAGATGCATTTCCTTCTTTTGATGTAAGATAAGAATGTCTAGAAAGAACATCAAACAAACCTTGTTGTTTTTTGGATCAATATGTGATCTTGAAATCAAATCTTAATAAAGACATGCTCCAACGAGCTTTGCAACGATTCAAATTACATACTAACATTACGTATTTGAGATTTTCATAGTACATATATATGGTGATTTGATTAGAAGCACCTTCTACATGATAATGCCATTCTTGAAATGAATCCACGATTGCAAGAAGTTCTTTATCAAGGATTTCATAATTAATCTTAGTTGCTGAAATTTTTTAGAATAAAAAGTAATTAGGTGAAGTTTATTATCTGTTCTCATTTGTAATAATATAATACCCAAAGCAAAGTCTGATGCATCTATTTGCACAAAAAAATTCCTTAGAAAAGTTGACACAATACAAAATTGGTACAAAAATAAAGGCTGACTTCAAAGGTTCAAAAGATGCTTCAGCTTCTTTGTTCCACTTGAGTTTGTCTTTGCAAGTCAAACATATAAGTGAGGCTACAACTCGAGAGAAGTCTTTGATGAAGATCCAATAATATTTGGCAAAGCCTGAAAAGCATTGGATATTTCTTACCGTTTTTGAAATCTTCCAATCTATAATAGTTTGAACTTTCTTAAGATCCATCATAAGTCCATCATTTGAAATAATGTATCATAAGAAGTCGACTTGAATATTATGAATTATACACTTTTCTATCTTGGCATAAAAACTTGCATCTCTTAATTTTTATAACACACAATGAACATAAAGTTCATATTCATTTGAGTTCTTAGAATAGATCAAAATATCGTCTAGATAACAAACAACAAAATTGTCAAAAAAATTCTTGAAAAACATCATTCATTAGATATTGAAAAGCTTTCGATGCATTTGTAAGTCCAAAAGATATGATGTTGTATTCAAAATATCCATATCTAGTTCAAAATGCAGTCTTCTATTCATCTCCTTTTATAATACATACTAGATTATATGCTCCCCGTAGATCTATTTTTGCATAGATCTTTACTTGGTTCGGTTGATTAAAAGTCCAGATATCAAAAGTAGAAGGTACCTATTCTTGATGGTGATCTTGTTGACAAAATTGTGAAGCATATAATGTTACAAATTAATTGCCTTGTCATAAAATATAGATCTTATTGGTTGTGACACAAGGTATATCATGTTTTCCATATATGGACCAAAATTCCTCCAAAAATGCCTCCAGATTATCCAATATTAGATCTCGTCATTCAAAAAATGATAAAAACCACGATAGTGCTGAACCTAAAAGAAGTGTGTCAATGAATTTAACTTGTGACCTAGAATTGGATAACTTTGAGATTGAAGTTCAATCACAAGTTATACTTGATTAATAAATCCTCAAAATTTAGATCTTGTACCATCAAACTTCTTGGATAAGGAAATTCTTGGTTCTCTAATACTTGAAGAATGTTCCACCATGGATGGAAGGATATGATTTGGTGCAGATATTGAGGCAGCTCTAATCATCTCTATATCTTCACTTCTTGCCATTCTTGTTGATCCTTGTGGTGGTAAGCTAATTTGATGCATTGCAAGCATCAACTCCCTCAATTGCTCTTGCATTTGTGCCATTGCACTCTTCATTTCAATAAGCTCTCCTATAATAACACTCAAAAAATATCTAATACCATTCAAGAAAAGTAGAAGAAAGAGCTACGAAAGAAGTTGAGGACAAAGAAAATACTACGAACAATATTAGTTTAGAAGAAGGTAATCTGTAGCTTCTAATAGGTTTATGTCTTATTATGAGAAAGGGGTAATCTAATCTTAATCAAGACAAGACAAAGCTCTAATATTATAAGTGGACTCTTGTTAATTTATCAAGGACATAACCTAGAAGATGATGCATAAATCAATGAAATTCGTGTCAAAGAAAAAGTGACAAAATAAAAATAAGGAAGTATATATATTTAAAAGAAATTAGAATGGCTTATTTCCTAAAAGACAAAAAAAATTGAGACTCTTGAAACTAGACTAGAAGCAAGAAAGGAGTTGATAAGAATGAAGAGGGCTTCATTTTTGTCTATATATACTATCTAACTAGGAGCTATGTAACAATGTTCTATAGGACCTCTAATATGTGTTGACTTTGTAAGACACATGTCTTAGCTTACAAGGTAAGTTTTCTACATGTGGGCCACAAAGTTAACTTGTTCTTCAAGCTACTAACATGTATGGCACATGACCAACTTGTTGACTACATTTCTAATTTAAAAAGTTAATTTAAGACATGTATAAAATCAAAGCAGTGTTTATGAAGCTTCTAGGAAGCTTCTATAAAAGATATTATGGAATTGACATACTTTTACCTACTATTATCTAAATCATATAAGTAATTATTGCTTTACATGTGTATGTCCATGACATTTTAATAGGATTTTAAGGTATATATAAAACCAATCTTTAAAAAATCTTCATGCACTATTTAACTTTTATTTTTTTCATTATTATGTCTAAAATTTGGATTTTAAAGCATATGAGTATTTTCAAGTTGTATCTAAATTTATTCTTTTATTTTATTATAGTCATTTTAATCATTCTTTTTTTTGCTTTCCAAAATATATTGCAATTGCAAGTTTCTTTGTTGATTATTATTTATTCTTGAAATAATAATAACAAAATTATTGATGGACTTTCTTATTTCTAAAATAAAAAATTAAGATTTTTTTAATAAGTTCGAAATTTATAAAATAGTATAAGATTTTATTATTATTAAATTTCTATAATTCATCATTTATTATTTATCTACTTACTTAAATAATGTTTGTATGCTTCTCATCTATGAAGTTGTACCACTTTTATCTATATTATTTACTATACTTATAATTAAAATTATATTTTCATATCATAATTTAAATTAGTATTATGATTTTGGATTTTATTTATTAATTATACAATATCATTTTAAAAACATTATATATTTTGGTAGAAATACTAAAAATATTTTTTAATTTTATATCTTAAAGATGCTTTATAATTTTCTTTAAAAATAATTCATCTTGATGTAATACCATAGATATCTAGAATACTTAAATATATAGAATTATACTAAAATATCTAATAGATAAATAAAATTGGATAAAATAAATAATTTTATTTTTAAAATGATTTGAAAGAGCTTTCTAAACAAAAATTAGATTCATATGTGTCTTTGGACGTGCCATATGAATTCAAAAACTTTTATTATTACTATTATCATCTCAACAACCACTAAAGAATCTTCTTATTACATAGATACTTAGTCTACAAGCTTTGTGGATTTTAAAAAACTTTCAAATATTTTTCTTGTGAACTTATATATTTAGAGGCAAAGTTGACACCATTCAATGTCTTTCTTGTACTCCAAACTTAATTAAATATATATATATATATATATATATATATTATGCACTTAACAATAGTAACTCTTATACATTTTTTTTTTTATAAAATACTTTTTTTTATTTCATTGCTGCTTTTTTTAGTTTCACATAATTAAGGTACAAAATAACAAAAGATGTCACTTCACAAGTCTACATGGATGTATGTCCTTGATACATACTTACACATCTGAAATTTCTCACAAACTTGGATATAAAAGTCTTAAGAATAGATCCAAAGAGATTCCATGTGACTCTTTTTAAAAATTACATTTAATTCTAATGTTACATAGAGATATTTTTCACTTTGCCAAAATGATTAAAACATGTATTTTTATTTCATGATTTGTCACATAATACAACAAAGATTATTGACATGGCTATCTTGGTTATCTATTTTACATATTAACAATCTGGATTTATCAAATTTTATAACTTTTATTAAGGATTTTACAAAAAGATTATATATATATATATATATATATATGTGTGTGTGTGTGTGTGTGTAAGTGTATTTTTTAATCTTACTTCATATATATAGAGACACAATACATCAACTAAATAGGTTGTGTATAGGAAGTAAGGCATTCAAATATTTTTTTATTATTAATTTGGTAAGTACCCCCAAAAATAGCCAAATTCTTGAATTTTTTTTCCAAAGTGATTCTTATTACTATTCATTTTTTAATCATTTCATTTTATAAATGTGCTTGCTATTTCACTTCACAAACAAATAGATGTCATGAATTATAATTATTACTATATATTTTCATCTAAAAAACTGAAGAAAATGAAGGATTTCAAAGAATGAGAAATTCTACATCGTTAACTTTGTCCCTTGATTTGGCCCTTTGATACCTTTTTCCATCACTCAGCCAGTGTGAAATGGGACTTCCACTGCGTGATGAACAAATTAGGGTTTCGATTAACAGCGCAGTGGTGCTTGCTCCTGTGGCTCATTCGGCCTCGCAGCTCTGATTACCGAATCTCCTTTCATTTCATTGTAGTGCGATCCAATTTCCGAGCTGCACGTTTAGGTGTGCGGAGGGCTGACGACATGCATCTGACGTTGGAATTCGGGTAAGCATCGAGTGCTTGGTTTTGTCCCTATCTCATGTTTTCAATGTTCTCGGTGCTGTTTTTTGGTGGTGAGTTTGGGAATTCCTTGTGTTGAAGTTTGTAGAGCTATGGATCGTGTTAGTTTCGGGTTTCGTTATTGAGCTCTGATGGTCTGCTTGTGTGCTTGCAGCGGTGGGTTAGAGCTTCTATTTGGGTCGCAGAAGAAGCACGAAGTGGAAGTCACTTCGCCTGATGACCTTAAGGAGGTACTTTTGCAGCTTCTAGATACCATTGCGCAGAGAAGATTAGAATTCTGGGTTTTCTTGTTCGTTTATTTACTCGAAAGCTGCTTGTCCGGCAGCGAAATTTTCACTTGGTGCTGTCCTATTGCTTTGTTGTGTGAGTCCTGCGTTTGTGGTTTAGGTCTGCGCAATCATGATGTCTGTGTGTTTTTGTATTCGGAATTTTGTTGCGTATTTGTGAGCTTGAGCGTCTAGATTGCTGAACTTTCTCTTGCCCCATATATGACTCTAGACCTGCGAGGGTTAGGTGTCTTGCTAATTACGAAAGTTCAATACGAATTAAAAGAAGGGTTTGTGACAGGTGACGATGGAGTCGTTGCTTTCTTGGATTAAGGATAATCTTATAAAAGAAAGGCCAGAGATGTTTGTGAAAGAGAGCTCAGTGTAAGATTTCCAAGTTTTCTTACCGCTTGTAGGATTACATCGTCTACATGAATTGCAGTGTAATTTATTTTTCTTTATTTTTTTCGTTGTTGTTGTTGCAATTTAGATAATAAATACAGTGTTGGGGGAGAGCAGTTGCTGATAAAGTTTAGTTTTAGGGTATAAATAGTAATTTCACTTTATTTGAATGTTTGGAAGTTGTTTGGGACCATCTTGACAGGTCTACCTGTAAGGCTAGATTGTCGCAGGGAAAGTTTGCTGAGACAGACTGAATATTTTTTCAGGTCATTTATGTTCATGAGTTTTTTCTGTAGCAGTTCTATTTTTGTAGCATAAGTATTTTGTTTCATAACCTGGTTGGGTTTCATGCAGGCGACCAGGCGTGCTTGTTTTGATCAATGACAGCGACTGGGAGCTTTGTGGTCGACTGGAGACGGTGCTGGAAGAGAATGATGAAGTTATATTTATTTCCACCTTACACGGTGGCTGAGCTCATTGCTTCCATTGTAAACAACACCTAATCATCATTAAGTGGTGGATAATTTGTATTATAAATATAATTTAAAACTCGATTAGCAGAATTAGCATCAGCAACGAGTTAATGCTCCTCTTTCGATCCAGGGCTTGTAGTGTTGGATGTAAGGTTGTATCAAACATTGTTAAGATGGAAATGAAGTGCGAGTTTATCTCAGTTCAATCTTACATAGATCGTTATTTGGCCTCTCGTTGAGAATCTGTTCACATGTTTATTTTTTGAGTAGGTTATAAGTACTTATCTCTATTGATTAATAAAAGTCACTAAAAATTTGTCAATTATTAGATGTTAGTAATAATTATTATTTATCATAAAATGGAGTTAATTCTTAAAATTTTGATTAATTATTGGAGTTTATTAGTTTTGAGAGATTACTTACTGAGATCTGAGATGACAATTATATATAAGTGTAAGACTTAAGGTACATTATTAAAACCACACACATTATTAAATAAGATTCTTAATAATATAAGATATAAAGATAGGAGACATATACTTTGATACATTTAACAAGTGATAAACTTGAAAAAAGACAAGCATGAGGAGGTTACTATCATGGTATAAGGATTCTCTTATAATGGCCTTAAGTAAATAAAAATGTATAACATTTTTACTAAAATTACTATTTAAAAAATATATAATTTTTTTTAACTACAAACATATAACTTTTATAAGGAAGTAAAAAAAAAAAAAGGATATAACATCTTTCTAATTATTATTATTGCATATAAAGACATATATAGAAGTGATTATTTTTCTTAGAGGGAGAAGAATTTAAAGAGTCATCCTATTATAAGATTTTTATATCTTATCTTGTCTTACATCATTTAAAGATAGAAAAATATTATCTTGGTTGAATAAAAGTTCTTAGGAAAATTTTCTTCGAAGATGTGAAATTGAATAATGTAGATTACTCTTCTTTGCAATGTAGAGGCTTGATGCCATATATTTTGATAAAATCAATCTATTTTATTTTATTTTTGACAAGATGTGTAGTGCATTCATAAAGTATTGAGTTGGAGATTATTGTTGTAAAAATATTATGTTTTTTTTTTTTTTATTTCCTTATTAGCTTCAAGGATGATATGATTAAAATCTCTTATAATACCTACTATTGTTATTTGTAGATTGGTTTTACCATTTATTAACATTGCTAGCAATAATGATGAAAATCCAAGCTTTGTGGATTATGCACCAAATTTCTATTCATATATTGTGCTAAGTTGTGGTGGGCTAGTGCCATAGTTAACTTATTATAATATTAGAACAAGTTATTTTAAGATTAGAAAAAAGAAGAGTTTTCTAATTTAAATTAATTAGCACATCAATGAGGTCAATGTGCAACTTAGTAAGTGAGATGGCTACTTGATTTCTTTGGTTGTATACTATGGTTGATAAAAATATAAGTTTTTGTTTGTATTAAAAGCAATCCTCAAATTAAACTCTGTGAGATGGAGGTAGTTCTATTGTTATTGATTTGGATTATTAATATGTCCACATTTCCACTCTATTTTGATTAAATTCCAAATTACTCAGTACTTGAATAATCATACTATTGGTTGATGGTGCAAAGGTGCAATTGAGGGTTAAAAATAATTTAAATAGATTTTTTTAATCCAACTTACTTACTTTTAAATTTTTACTTTGGTTTTAATGATTCTTTCTATTATGTTATTTGTATGAGTGAAAGAGTCATGAAGTATACATATTTTTTCTAGGATAAAACAATGTTTGATTCTAACCTATATAATAATGGCCTTATACCGAAATAGTGATGTTGATCTTAAAAAAGTCCAACTAGTCCAACAAATCTATATTTTTTAATATCTAAGATAGTATATTTATGCTTTGAACTTGTCACAATAGAATTTGGTGATAAAAAAATCATGTGATCAATAATGATATTTTCCATTTTTTAAAAAAATAAATAAATATAGTACTTCTTAAATTACTTAGCATGGATGTATCTATTGATACTTGTTAATAGATTAACTAATACTTAAGAATTGAAGTTTGTTTGTTATTTGTAATTGTTGTTGTGGAAGTGAGTTCCATTAAATAGAAGTTATTATTTTGAGTTTCTTTCACTTTTTATAGACTTATTCTTGTCACTCATCTCTTATTCTAAAGCAAAGTTGTTGATATTGATAATAATATTAGTGTTTTGTTTGGAAGATATTCAATTTTAGATTTTTGTCCTAAATATATAATGATATTGTTCTGTGTGTATTTTTATTTTTATTTTTGTTTTATTTTTGAAGTCTATTATTAAGTTATCTTGCCCTTTTTATTTACCACGAAGGTAAAACCATCTTTTTTTGAAAGAAATAACTCTTTAATAATTGTTAAGATTTTATCAATGTCATTTCTATTACTATTCGTGTTGTTTGTTTTTATTCTTGTATAATTTCTTGTGTCTCTTTGCTTACATAGTCAATTATTTGCCATAATTTTTTTAAAAAATAGATAATAATGGATATTTTTTGGTATAATTTTTAATATGAAAAAAGAAATTAGCATCTTATAACTAGATTAGGATTTAACACAAGACTTCTTTAAATCACTTGAAAATAAATAAAAAAGTCTCTATTAATAATTCTTGCAATATTTATAATTCCTTTGATTTTTTCTTCTAATATACATAACCATTTTTTAAAGTACTTAAAATGCTATTAGAAAAAAATACAATGTACTGACATATTTTTGCAAGTTCAAAAAAATTGGCATAACAATGTTAGAATTAATAATTACTTTTGAAGTTTTATATTCAATGAAAAATCATAAATAGCTCTTAATGTAGTCATTAGAAAAACCTTCACCCTAGTTATCTCCGACTTAGACCTCTTCTTCAATGTTTGGAGTGTTGCCATTGTGTACATGAGTCCCTCTTGCCATTACAAATAGTCTATGCATACCTATATGTATAAAAAAAACTAAAAATCACTTTTTATTTACTTTTTAAATCCACAAATTCTGTTCCTACCGTCCGATCTTTTATCGATAGCACACTTTATACAAGCCACGATTTTGGATTGAAAAGAACCAAATTTTGACCTTCGCGGCCGCAGCCGCGCCAACCCTAAACTACCAAAGCTTACAGCTCCGAACAGTACAGTCTGCTGCATCCTTCACTTCAAACTCAAGACTGAGCTTCATATAACTTCTAGTGGAGAGAGATGTTAGCATTGACCTGGCGGATCGATGGAAACTGTATTCCAAGGATTCTTTCAGGTTGCGAAACTGCCCAAGCACCCAGATGATGTGGTGCTTTACACCCACGCCGCTTAAAGTACTGCAGACAGGTAAAAATGTTTGCCATTGCGCCCCGTGTAAACTATGTATGGAATTACTAACTTATTGTGTTCACAGAATAAATCTTTATGTTCTGGCTTTAACATGTGTTTTTTTCAATATAGCAGCATATTGTCAAATTTCTTGAATATACGTATGTACATGTGGGCACATGCTGGATTACTGTTTGATGCAATACATCTCAGATGATAAATAAATTAGTATGCATTTGGTGACTGAGAAGCATGTACCAGGAAATAAATAGGAAAGAGAGTGTGAGCTTCAACTGGTTAGTTTCTGTTCTTTTTTCACATTGACAACATATCAGTAGCTAGTTCTAAGCTACAATTGAAGAGGATATCGTTGGAGAAGGACAGAGTCCTTACTGGATGTGTGGGGTTCGAGAGGAATTTGTTAGTATATTCCACATAACTTATCACAATCCGCACATGAGAATCGTTACCAATATCAGTATGAGAAAGGGCTGTTGCATCAGTATTTGTGAGCTCCTAGAGCTATCATCATCCATCAGCAGAAGACGAGGATTGTTGTCGTATGCCTAGCACACTGTTTTCGTAACAAATCAATTGGGAATGAACGTACATGTTATCCTTAGCATGAAGGAACACTGCTATACTACCCACCTGGCTAGCTTCGGTAAACTCAGCCTCCATCTAAAATTCATCACCGTCCAAAATGTGGATCACAAAAAATCCCGGGTTCAATAAAAGGTGGACAGAAACTCTGACCCGTGCCTCCGGCATTAAAATACAGTCCTTGCCACTTACCAATGAAGTATATACAACTACAGCTAGCTTACAGACCTAATCTTTTGAACAAATGCTCAAAAATCTCCTCACCGGAGACCAGTTCCTGAGCAACGAAAGCGGCGATAGCGATCATGGCAAGACGGCCATTGTTGAGCTCCTTGGTCTGCATAACCTTCCTTTCAGCGGGATCAGTTGGGAGGAGGCCCAAGGGGTCAAAGCCCAAGTTACCGGGTTCGTAGTCATCCCTCAATGTGTTGAAGTCCTGGGAACGGGGAGTTGCCCAACCAAGACCTACTCTGTATGCCTCGCAAAGAGCGATGGCGAAGATAAGAGGCTCCCAAAAGACGGCACCGCGAGCTTCAACCTGCTGGAAGTGGTAGATAGCTGGACCAGAGATTTGGCCGTCAAAGTTGTAGAACAAAGAGTAATCCTGGAGCTGCTCCTGGACAATAAATCCTAAAGAGGCAAGCATGGCAACACGGCCGTGAGTGATTTCCGACTCCCTCCACCTGTTCAGCTCCTTAATGGGTCGGGGGCTGGAGGCAGCGCGGGCCAGGAGGTCAGCAGGGTCGAAGATGTTCTCGAACGGAGCAGTCACTCCGGGCATTGTCTTCGCATCTGCAACGATGAACGAAAAAGTCAATATACAAAGCTAACACGAGGCAAGCGCTCCGATCGACGCTGACGGAGTGCAGCCACGAGAAACACGTATATCTAAACGATGAAACCTACGAGTCGGACAACAAACGCAAAAAGGGAGTAACAATGTTTCTCCTTGCATTTGCGAGGGTCTACGTCAGGCAACTAAAAATCACCCGCTGGCTCTAAATGATTCCATACCTTATCTTAAAGACAGACAGATACTCTAATTCACGAAATGTACAACAAAATCAGGCTTGAAAGATGAGGTCTTACACTCGAGCACATTTGGGGGCACGACGGCTGGATCAGGAGAGACCTTGTCAGCTACAGCGCTGATGTGCAGCACAGAAGTGCGCCTCGTTGCGTGAGGTGCAGCTGCAACGGAGAAGAGCTTAGCTGCAGAGATGCAACTTACTGAAGATATCGCGGCCGCCATATTTGTTGTTTTACTAAAAACAATAAGGACACAAATTTGCCAAAACCGTGGAGAAAATGAGAGGACAACACAGTGGGAAGAGAGTTCAATCTGAGCGGAGATTGCAACCAACTGTGTCCCTATTTATAAATCAGAAACTGCTCCTCTCCACGCTCTTGTGGAATTCCAATGAACCCTTCAGAGCAGCTCAATTGTGTGATGATGAATGAACGAGCCTCTGAATCCATCCTCAACCTCTTATTATGTGAAGTTATCGTGGCACAATCCTAGCTGCCGATGTTGCGGGGGGACGTTTGTGGACATTTTGCGGAAATTTTGACTAGGACGATGTGAATGAAGCAAGGCTGAATGTTCAGCCTCCTCCACCCAATTTGCAGAGCGGCCCATTCTATCTTCACACCATCACTTTGTCGCAGAGTCCCACTCTTGCTCCCCGTCAGTCTCTCTCGCTACATTCACTCACTTTTTTCCCTTCAGTACTGGAAAAATTGATCGTGGGGCTGGAACTTTTCCTCGGCATTCGTGCTTGGATCTCCGCCACTTGGAAGGCCTTGTACAAGCATCCACCGTGGCACCTGCGGATCTTTTTGTTGGCTCACAAACGTTCTTGTCACAGTGATCTCAGAGCTTGATCCGCTTTCGGCGCTGAATCGAGTCTTGTCCAACACTGTACATCCACCCACAATGCACTTCTTCAACAATTTTAAACAAGGACCAGGCGCAACAAACATATCGACACAGACACTCGCATACGGCGCCAGTAAATCGACTCTGCTGAATATTGCTTTCCTACTCCACGATTTCCATCGTTGCGTGCCTCTAACGTAGCCGACCCATTCTCTACCACCCCGATTTCCGACCTATAATGTTGGGTATTTTCGTGAGTCCACCATCCTTTATGATTAGTTTTGACATCCTTCTGGTTAGAAATAAGTTTAGTGCTTGCTAAGTGTACAACATTCTTGATCATGAAAAAGTGTGGCAAGATGGATGGAGTGAGAGTCTTATAATTTTAATTGCTTGGGGTGGAATTCAAGTTTAGTAGGAGCTAGTTGAATTCTTGTTACCTCATGCATATATTATTTGTAGGTAGCATGGAATTAGGTGAAATTTGATAGCATAATTAAGAGGCATACTTTTTGATTATGAAAAAGGATGATTTTCAATTTTATAACCCACTATGGATTGGAATTAGCTTGGTCTATATGTGTCATGAATATATATCTATTGTAATTGTTGTCTAAGTAATATGAATAGGTAGAAGTAGGTAAAAGTAGATTAATTTCATAATGTCTTTTAGAAAAGCTTCTTAGAAGCTTCTTAGACATTGTTTTGACTTTACATGTGTTTATAGTTGATTCATAGGTTAGAAAATTGGTCAACAAGCTAACCACGTGCCACATATATTGGTAGTTTGTAAAACAAGCTAATTATAAGGGGTCCACATAGAAAACTTACCTTGCAAGTTAAGATATGTGTCATGCAAAGTCAAAACGTGTTTGGAGGCTCTATAGAACGTCACCACATAGATCTTAGGTAGATAGTATATATAGAGGTAAGAGTAAAGTCTTCTTCACTCTTATCAATACTTTTCTTGTTTGTAGTCTAGTTTCAAGAGTCCTAGGTTTTCTTGTCTTTTGATAATAGGCATTCCAATTTCTTTTTTAAAATACATACTTTTCTATTTCTATTTTGTCATATTCTTTGAGAGAGTCTCGCTTATTTATTCCCTTTCATCAAGTTCTTGTCCTTAACAAATTGACAAGAATACACTTATAATATCAGAGTTTTGTCTTTTCTTGATTAAATTTTTTTTTTTTTTTTTTTTTTTTTTTTTTACATAAGCATATTAAAATTTTTATATAAGCATATTAAAAATTGTAGATTATCCTCTTCTAAATTGATATTGTCTTTAATATTTTTTCTTTATTTTTAAGTCTTCTCTTCTATTTGTCTTGAGTGATATTAGACATCTTCTTTTCTTTTAGGGTTATCATTGCAAAATTTGTTAAAATGAAGAATGCAATTTGTGCATCAACTCAAATTACTACTACATAGAGCAATAAGAATGGCAAGGAGCAAAGATATAGAGATGATTGGAGCTGCTTCAATATTTACACCAAATTAATCAATAATATTACATGCTTCATAGTTTTGATAACTTGTAATTAATATCAAGTGGCATGATGTTGCACTTACAAGCTAATTTCTTTACAGATTACAATATGAGGTAAAAAAAATTAATGTTCAATTTATTTGATCTTCAAACATTGAGTCAAGCAATTAACTTTTTTGTGAAGTATGACAATCAACTTTTTGAATTTTGATGTGAGAGTCATACAAGTATATCTTAATATTACTATAATTCAATGAAAATACTAACATCTTCCCAACACACACATTCAAAAGTAGAAGATATGCAAATTCATGTGATATATTTTAAATCTCTTATTGAGCAAAAAAAGACTTGTTGTCATTAGGAATGATTTTGCTTATATTGTGGAGAACCTAAACACAATATACAATACAATTATATGGTCCCTATTGTTGCTCGACAAATTTATTTTTTGACATACTATCTTCTTTGATGGCCATACTCCTCATTTTATGGTTGCGTCGTTTTAATGAAGAAAACTAAATCTATTCACATAAAAGTCATAGATGGTCATCCTTTGTCTTCAAAAAATATTATTCATAAAACTTTTCTTATAGAAGTAACAACTAATGGTCATAATAGCTTTATAATCTTTAATATCATTAGATCTTTTTTTAATCCAATCATTTTAGATTTATCATAATTAAAAAAATATATTTCAAAAATAGATTTGATTTCTTGTAGTTTTTACTTTTTTGAAAGTATAACTAAGAGTATAATTAATCAAATAGAAAGTCATAACTTGTAAAGCACACAAATTGGAAGAAGATGCATAAACTCGTGGAATCTGTATCAAAATTAACTTACAAAATAGAAGAAAATATATATATTCAAAGAAGAATTGAAATGACTATTACCAAAGACTAGAAAATATAAGACTCTTGAAACTAGACTAAAAAGAAGAAAGGAATTGATAAGATTAAGGAAGGCATCACTCTTGCCTCTATATATACTACTTAACTAAGAACTATGTAGCAATATGCTATAGGACTTTTAATATGCATCCAACTTGTAGAATACATGTCTAATTTGCAAAGCAAGTTTCTTAGGTGTATGCCATATGTCCAACTTGTATTACAAGTGGTCAACATATTGACATGTGGCTTCCTTGTTGGCCAAGTTTTCAATCTACCAATTACCTATAGACATATATGAAGGCAAAGCAGTGTCTTATGAAGCTTATAGGAAGCTTTTCATAAGATATTATCATATTTATCTACTTTGACTTACTTCTATCTATTCTTATTATCTAAATAATTATTAGGATAAATATGTATGCGTTGTCGTATGGCATGATTTGCTACTTGGGAAAAAACTGGGTATCTAGCTGTAGAGAGTGTAGCTTAAATCTTTATATGAATCTTGTATTAGCCTCCCAAAACTCCTTTATTTTTGCATAAATCTCAAAATATAACAAAACCCCTTCAAAACATATTTTTTCCGCAAAGGATTTTCTTGTCTTGAACTTTAAAAAATCATAACTCTTGATCTAACCGTTCAGTTTGTCTCAAATTTACAAGATAGGTAGAATTCACCTTTAAATTTTATCACGAAAAAAAAAAACCGAAAATTCACTCCCGATCTTTTGACATCTAAGAAATCCTAGTAGATGCTCTAAACCCTAATTTATAAGCACCCGAACACTATTTTCTTAATATCTCAATAACCCAATATTCAAATGTCATAAAACTTATGTACAAAGTTTACTAACATTAAATTACACATTCCTTGAAATCTTGAGTCAAAACCTTCTCAAATTGCTCAAGATATAGCTCAAGAGACAACCACTAGCAAATCGGATTACTTACTACCCTAAGATTGCATGCACTGACTTCAAAATCCAATAACTCCTTTATTTCAACTTGGAATCTAGTAAGCAGTATAAAAAAAGTGTAGCCGCAAAAGTGCTCTCTCCAATCGCGGTCGCCGATCCTCAATTTCTATTCGTATGCGTGCGTTATGCTAAAAAGAGTGATAGTAGCTCCCAAATCAATACTTTAACTTTGAGCGCTTGTATCTCCTTTATATATACTCCAAACCATACAAAACTTGCACCAAAACCATAGCCAAAAATCTAAACCTTTTGACCTTAGCCTTCAAAATTCAAATGGCTTCGAAAAACTAAACTTAATCTCTAATATGGCCTCAGGCAGCCTCCTTAAAGCCCATTGGTCATGATTTTTGACCAATAGGAATGGAGATTTTTATTACCCATCTCCATTCATCTATATTGGTGCCCTAATTACTCCCTTTGCTATCAAAATCCTTCTTCAATCCTTTTACTTATAAGATTTACATAATTTATGCTCTAAACACCAAATAAAAGAATCAAAAGAAGTTTTCAAAGGTTACCAATGTCTAACAAAGGTGATTCTAAATATTTAGAAGTTACTATCAAACAAAACCAATCTTAAAAGCCACTATCAAAAAGAAATTAAAATTATACAAATTCTATAGTAATCTTTTTAAACAACCTCATCTCAAAGTAATAATCAAATTATATTCTACAACCAATTAAAATCTACTAATATGGCTCTCACCATATAACTTAATGAATTATATTTAAAGTACATAATTATATTATTTTCATATAGTATCCGAACCACAACACGACAGCGTGTGATATTATCCTCTTTTAAGAATAAGTTCCATGAGTAGCTGTGTCGTACTGTAAAAATTTACAATATGTAAAAATTAGTTAGAACATATAATATGTTCATAAGACTTGGTGTATGTTGGAATGGTTAAATAGATTAATTTAAAAAGAATGGATTTAAGAAACTTTATTTTGAGTTTATCTTTTTACTTATAGCATTTCAAAAAAAAAACATTATAGAACCCAAATGTTTAGTATGGAGCCTTGAGAGGAGATTAGAGCCTAAAGAAGAAATTCTTAACTACTAGAAGGTTTATTGGGAGGGATGAAAGGAAGGCATGGTTGGATGAAGGCAAGGAGTGAAGACCTTCATCCCTATTGGTCAAATGTCATGCCCAATGGGCTTCAAGGAGGCTGTCCGAGGCCTTATTAGGGATTAGGGTTTCTTTTTCGAA